AGTGTTTTGTTTCTTGTAGAACGACATGCTGTATGTTAATTGGTTTCGCTCGGGACTTCTGCTTGTTTAAACTCAGCATTTGCTCTTCTGACAGTGTGTCATTCGGGGCATGTTTGTACTTGTTTAAAATCTGCCTGCTCTGGCTTTTTTTTCTTTAAAAAGTTAAGCAAAGTTTGGGACTTGTGCCTACTCTTGTAAAATACAGAAAGTGTCGGGACGCGTGTGCCTACTCCTAACAGACCGGGGGACGTGTATGCGGTCGCTTACATTAATCCTGCTATACGCTTTATTATTCCTTGAAACGTGATTAAAAATAACACATTAATAAATACATGTAATGTATTTTTGTTCTATTAAAGTTTAACGACCCCCGCAGCCCCCAAACCATATGGCCCTTTATCAGCAACACATGGCATAAGCATGTATGATACCATATATGGACATAACCCCTTGACCAATCAGAATAAGGGATATGCCCCCCTCCCACTTATGACATCATAAATGGAGGCCCATTAGGCCCCGCCCAAGGTACCACATACTATTTTTTATTGTGTTTATTGTTGAAGTCATAATTTATATCATAAAAACAAACAAACAAATAATAAAAATTATAAACTTGGTGAAAGTACCCTTAGTGGAGGACACAGAATGAAGATGGTACCCATAATTCTGTCAGTGTTTGTTACTGAAGATTTCGGGAAAAGCTCCATCATTTACAAAGGATTTTATTATTCATCTGTGAAGCCACAGCTATTGGTTAAATTCCCTATAAAAGCACATACAACTAAATTGGGCTAATGGAGTGGACACTTCATAGCCTGTTTGCTTTTCCTACTCGTGGTTCTTTGCCAAACTCGCTCAGTGAAGCTGCTTTTGCATCCAGGTCCTTCTACGGCTGATTTACGATTCATTTCCTGTCACCCTGTCTTTTCTGTCTGTAAGGACCGGAAGAGATGTGGAAATATGAGCTGGCATGATGTTCTCCTCGGGGTTGGCCATGATTGGTCCAGAGCAGAGATAATGAGCATTCATCTCCACCGCATTCAATCACGAGGGCGTCCACTGTGCCCTATCGACAGCAGCTCCATGTTCAGGTTTATTTGAATGTGGGCTTGGAATGAACAGCAGGAGGACCCCATAATATAATTACTGTGCTGAGGCAAGCTCTTCTGAATCCATCACAAGCCCAGTTACCCCCCAGCGTGCCGAAAACCCAGCATAAGTGTGATAAGATTTTTTATTTTTTTATACAGTGCAAGGACTGCAAATTACAGAAGGAAAAATGTCAGCAGTGATGCGACCGTTCAGGGACAGGGGACCCAGGTGGGAGAGACTGGGGACGTTTAGTTCTAGCTGGCATCTTCCTCTGGTCACTTTGCACCAATTAGCCCTACCTTCAAGGAAAAAAATATCCACCAAGTCGAACATAGAGTTAGCTGTCAACAAGACTTTTTTTTTCTCATGGAGTGCTATTATTTTGCAGTGAAAGTTAAACTTAAGGCCAAGTTAGTCCTACAGTATTATATCTGCAAGATGAATTATCTTGAGTAAAGCTTGATGGTAGTGAAATGTTCAAAAGAACTGCATCAGTGAGGTGTATTAAGAATGTCCAGACATAACAGCCAGTTAAGTTGATAGATGCAGTTTCTCCCTGAGGTGCACAATGCAAACCTTCCACACCACCTTCCACATCACTGACCATTGCTCATGGAAGATTAATGAGGTGTAGGTGATGTGGCAGGAATGTCTGAGCTCTTACCTTTGGGGGGTCAAGAGGGACGATTATGGGTGGATCTATTCAGTAAGTAAACGGCTGTTAACAGGCTGATGTAGCCCACAGACTGAAGATCTGCTGTTTGCTGACACTTGATTCTACCCACACTTACTGTTGAGCCTCTTTATCTCAAGCACCCAGGTTCATGACCCAGCACTCTGGTGATCTTGGTAAGAACAGTGATCGTTTTGCCATTTCACCCCCATTCCTGCCCTTATTCACTGAACAGGGGAGGGGGGGGGGACACAAAAACCAGGCAAACTCACAACTGGTTTCCATTCTGAAAACATTTTAAAATGTTTAAAAAATTCTACAGGAGTGTTTAGAATTTTCAGAATGTCTCACAGTTCTTAAACTTTGACTTTGGAAGGTTAAATAACAACTGCTGAAAAGCCACAGTTCTTCTAGAATGACTTTAAGTGAAGTAAACATGATAATTTTCAAGCTGTCTCACTCTAAATGTGACCAGCTCATGCCCAATGCGTGTGTTCACTCCCAATTGTATAAGAGGGATTTGGTTGTAGTTCCCTCACCACAATCAGTAATGGTTTGTGATCGCATAAACGCAACTAGACATTGATTTGTGCTTGTTTCATTTTCTCTCCCTTGGAAGAATAAAACTTTCTGCTTTCTATGGAGTCAGCAACAAAGCAAATTCAATTAAAACGTAAACTGGTGACAATCAGCTGAACTTGCAGACGTGGAGGAGCTCTGGACGGATTACAAAACCGAAATCCTTAACTGCAGTACAGGCAAAGGCAAGGAGGCATAAAGATCTGATGTGAAAGACCGTAATAAAGTATAAACTACATGGTTATGGACTGCCACACACTCATGTCAAGTGCCTCGCAGCAACCCTGTGGTGAAAGGCGCTATATAAGAATATACTGAATTGCATTAATAGTGTAAGTGCCACGTGAACTTTGCGGAAGTTTAGTGCAAGGGAGGTTTATATAATGGGAGTGCGCTGTATTATGGCAGAAGAGGAAAAAGAGGGGAGAGAAAGGAGAGAAGCTTCACTCTTGGCAGCTAAACCAAACAGATTGCAATAGTGTATGATCTATAAATAGAGATACAGTATTTAGAAGGAAAACATATAACCAAAAACAACATGTTAATCCATAATAGTTCTTCAATGCTGTGCGTAGTTAAGACATGATAAGCCAGAAGTTTTAAATTGGACTCCAGGCAAGGATAGAGGGACCAATCATAAACCAAACACACTGGTCTCTTAAAGGGATTGTTTTTTTTGGTCAAAATCTAAACTCAAGCATGGCCTCATGTCTACAAGGAGAAGTGGAATTTGCAAGGCTAATAATGCCAGTGTTATCGCTACTAAGACTCTCCCGATTCTTGGCAACATCTGCTGGTAAAGCGTAGAGGATGAATATTCTGCCCCCTGGATCACCCCCCTCTCTGTTTCGCAGCTCAATTTCAATTCAATTTCAAGGTGCTTTATTGGCAAGCCACAAGGTAGGGTTATCAAAGTCGTCCAGGAAGACAACAAGCCCAAACGACATATAATAACACAAATAAAGACTGACAAGCTTGTGAAAAAAAGTTACAAATAAAAAAGTTGCAAAAAACAGTATGAATAAAAAATGTGACACATGAGTAAGAATATCCTTGTATTACCAATCTGTCTCATTGTATCCTGAAGTAGCTGTTTAGTGCAGCTTGTTTTAATTACGCTTAGCATGGTTCACACACAGGGCTTCCTAGACCTGCTCACTTAACCCACTACCTGTTGTACCAAGGCTGTGGTGCAGATGGGTGCAGCCAAATCCAAGTCCCTAACGAGGGTGGGTGTTGGGTCCAGGTAATTGGTTGAAAAGGTCTCAGGCAGCAGGCTCTCACCAGATGACTGTACCTAAAACCCACTTTGCGGCCAGCAAGGGTCTCTGGTGGGACTGATCAAGGCAAAAAAACAACTGTACAAACCATGCCCGCTGCTGGAACCTCCTGTACCACCTTCCATGACATCACCCTTCTCCTGTTTGGCTTCCTCCTGCATGCATGAGATCCATGTAATGGAAAGAGATACCATAGTTACTACACTAAGTAGAAAAAGGAATCTTTGCTTTACTGTATTTTCCATTTGCATAAGTATACTGTAGGTACATTGAATGCTTGTTTTCACATATCCCATCATGCAGTCCTTTGAGACACACACATGCACACACACACATGTACACACATACACACACACATAACAAGGACCAGTCAAAAGTCTGGACACAGCCATCAGATTCATGCATCCTTGTAGATGTATGGTCGGTGTTTGTGAAGGTGGAGCTTTAGGGTTATTTTAGAATAATTATAAAAAAAAATCAAACCTCTAAAATAACATATATGGAATTATGCATTGACCTAAAAAGTAATAATTAAACAAAAAAATAATAATTTGGGGTGGGGCAGCTATGTTGGTTGGGTTGCAGAAGGTTCAAACCCCTCAGTCAGCAGAGTGATCCCCCCCACTGGACCCTTGAACAAGCCCCCTAACCCCATTTGCTCCGGGGACTGGCTGACCCTATTCCTCTATGCCAGGTTCATGAGGTGGCCTCCTGGGATGCTTTTCCAGCTGTCCTGAAGGAGGTCCCACATTTAAGCTGAGCACTCTTTGGCTGATCTTCCTTTACTCTCTGGTCAAACTCCCCCAAAAAGCTGTTCTACTGTGTTCTGCCAGATCACATGCGACACTGTCACTCTCCTTCGTAGGCTGCTTTGGCCAAACATTTGACTGGTAGTGCATATATAGCTGATAGTGAAGTTTGAGGTCTTAGTGCAGGGTCAGACCGTTTATTTGCCCCCCCCATTTTGAGTGTTATGGGCTCTACCCAGGGGTCCAGCGGACACAAGACTATTCAGCCAAGGATGGGATGCAAACTGGCAACTACCCAATCACAGGCACTGAAGCCAAACCCACTGAGCCACACACTTAGGGCTGAACGATTTATCGATTTCAAATCGAAATCGCGATTTGAAAGAATGCGATTAGCAAATCGCAAAGGCTGCGATTTAGGACATACATTATACAGCACGTCGGACCCAGGGTTTAAAACTGTTGTAAGAATAGTTTTCCAAACTCATACCGTGCTCCCTATGTGACAGTCGTTCTCACCAATCACATGCGCCGTGCTCCTTATGTGACAGTCATACTCACCAATCAGAAGTGGCCCGAGGCGACGGAGTACACGCCCACAAACAGCAAACATTTGAAACCTGAAGAAAATGTTGCATTCGCGGTGCAGAAAATGTTGATTCCGCTACTGAGGTGTAAGTGAATTGCTTTTCTATTTCATGGTCCGAGATTGTTTCAGAAAGGTCCTATCATCAATAGAACCGGCGAGCTCCTTTTAAACACCAGCTGCAATATACTTCAGCGTATCATACCTTTGGTTTTGTTAATAGGCAATAGCATTAGTATACCGCTAACCCATCAAAACAAACAATGAGACAGTCAGTAATTCTCACAGCAGCGGAGTCGATGAAAACTCACAATACAGTCGTGTTTATGTCATATGTTTTTGTGCTTATTAAATTTAAGTGTTTCCAAAAATTAATCCCACAACAGTAATAAAATAAAAGTCTTGCTTTAACATAAATACTAATCGCTTTAATCGCTATTACAGTTGAGTTGGGTATGGGCACGCGGTCTTATTTAGAAAGCATACAAAAAGAGACGCATAATGTTTAATCATTCGTTTTGTATTTGTATTAAAGCAAAGGAATGATAAGCTGCAGTCGAAAACTGCATTCTACTTCTCATTTAAAATGCAGGGTTGGCAACTTTGGTCAGCTGCATGGAGTGAGATTTTCTGTTCTCTGTTCTNTATGTAAGTTTTATTACCTTGTAAATAGTCTGTAGGGTTTGCAAACTGCCGTAACGTTTTTGATGCAGCTAATTTTAAGTTCAGAATGGAATATAGATTTGCCGTAAGATTTCTTGCGTGAGAGTCTGAAAGAGTTTGCAACCATGAACACGTACATTTTTTTGTTTAACCTGAATTGATTTGTATAGAAAATAACCGTATTCAGTTGTTAAAAAGCGGAAACTTCGACCAACATGAAATCACCAATAAACGTCTTCTATTTATTCAACATTTTATAAAATGCATACTACATTAAAAAATTTCCAGCTTTACGGTTTCAGGACAGAACAGCCACTCTGTTATGAACGTTACGGTTTTTTGAGCGTTATTAGCAGCTAACAACACAATAGCGCAAACGAAAGGGCTGCATACACTGAAGTAGTTCTTGCTTGTTCATTCGCGTGGGAAATTGGCGGTTCTAGTGTTATTAGCAAAATAGCAAAATCGCTATTTTTCTTTTTGCTGCAATTGTTTTCATTGTTATTTTATTTAACTTGACATCTTTATAGTCTCCTTGCATTAGAATATAGACCAGTTAATACTGATGGTATCTCATGCTGCGTCATATGTTTTACAATTACTACACACTGAATATTGAACTCAAGCTTGACATAAAAAAAATTAAATCGTAATCGCAATTTGTCAGAAAAATCGCGATTCGATATTTTCCCCAATTCGTGCAGCCCTACACAGACTTCCCCAAAATAGGACCCAGTGGCCTATGGTTCCCCTCCGACCTCATGCAAAATTGTCAGGTAACAGATTGCATCTTGCAGAATTCCGATCTGCCATTAAACAAAAACTTTTTTCCAATATGACAAGAACAAACTATGGGTACCCAGCTAATGTTTTTACACACATTGCTGATTAAGCTAACCAAGTAGTAAAATACAAACATGCACACTCAAAGGGCAACCACAACTAGGAATGAAAAAAAGGCTAACCTAAAGGCACTTGATGTATGTTGAGTATGTACAGTATGCTGAAAATTAATCATTTGTGGGAAGCAACTTATTGTCCAAAAGATGTTACTGCCTTTTCCTTACCACTTCAGCTGATATTTCAAATTAATGCCATTTGAATTGCACAACAGATCTGACAGCAGTTTTCTGGTGGAACCACAAATAATGTCCATTCAGGTCCTGGTATTTACAAAATACCCAGCAGGCACATGCCTGGGCACAGTCTAACAAACCCCAAGAGAGTCTCCAATTTCCAACTACAAGGCCCAGTGAGTAAATTACCCTTTAATTTTCCTGCGTTTCTGGGCAATGCCTGTTTTGTATAATAACTGGATCATGGTTGATCCCCCTGCCAGTCTAATTAAATTAGAAAAGGAACAGCAGACTCACACCCAAATAGGATGGAGCGTTTGACAGAGGCCCTCTTTTAATAACGGAGTCTCCCTTGCTGTTTGCCAGCCTTCTTCCTCTTCAGGATGCCTCATCATTAGCAGAAATGGCAGTTTCCATGAAACTAGCCAAGCATCTCAGCTTTAAGGTTTCAGCCTCACGCCGAGAAGGCGAAAGCGAAAGTGACAGCTTCTCTGTACATGTGTGTGTTTTCCTCTCGAATAATAACAATAATAAAAAACTAGATAAGACAACAAAATGCCGTGGTGCAATAAAACACCCTGGTTTGTGGTGGTGGGGTAGCTGCCACAGATTGATGTGTTTGTTTTGCCTTTGTTTGCTGCCATGCTTTGTCTGGTGCCGTTACATGGCGGCAAAGACGCGGAGCATTGATGGGGATGAATGGCCCAGTCTGCAGGCATCTGTCATGTTGTGACACACCAGTCATTGCAAAACAACGGGGATGGGGATTTTGCAGGGGGAGCCGGCAGATTCATACAACCTTGTAGATGTATGGTCGGTGTTTGTGAAGGTGGAGCTTTTGGGTGAGGTCCAGTGCTGCAGGGTCAGAGCCTTTTTATTCTGGGTAAATGTGCAGAATGTTCATAAGACACATTGTAATGTTCATAAGCAGGCACATGTATGAGGTGACGTCAGGGACCACAGCGCACGTCTGAGCAAGGGCATATATTTCACAGTTTTATTAATAAAGTATTATTTATATTTGTTGGCAATAAATTACCCATCCATCCAACCTTTTCTACACACACTTGTCTTATGCACGGTTACAGGGGTCCAGAGTCTATTCTAGAGGGCAGGGAATAACCAAGGATGGGGCACCAACCCATCGCAGATCTAGACATAAAATTATTCGTAGATAATTTCTTGTTTTTCTTTCATCATTGCATTCTTAATGATGGACTGAAAGTTATCTGGGCATGGGCCTGGGTGCCCCCCCCCCCCACCCTGGTTCCATGGTACCTGGGTCACGCTAAAACCGTGCATCTCTCCTGAAAGAGATTCCTCCATCTCAGAAGCCTGGTTGTTTTCGGGAGTGCAGTGCAATTTCTGCCTTTTTCCCTCCTGTTCCCCTGTGGCTGCATTATGTTGCTACATATTCAAGCTTTCTCAGTCACACGGGCTTCGAAGATCCCTAGAGAGCTTTAAGCATGTTAAGGCCCACTAATGGGAAAGAGACTGGACAACAGGTGCCAACAGTACATTTTCAGGGCAAAGTGACTTCTTCTCAATGGGTAGAAATAGCACAAAGCCTTAGTAATGTTAGGCTTAGGTCCTGCAGGAGTCCTCTTAAAAGTGAGCACTTGATTTCTAATTGCACAGTCTGGAGGAGCATCCAGCATACAATAGAAAATCCAGCTGCAGGGGTACAGATTATGGAAATGCTCTCTTGCTCAGAAGTGTCAAAGCGGGCAGCCGGGAACCCGGGCAAGACCATGGAAGGTCAGATATCAGGAGCTACAAACCGCAAAAAAAACCTCTAAAACTCCGAATTTAAAGTGCACAGCAAAGCAGAGGATAGAGAGACACTCCCAGTGCTGAATTTTTAGTGGCTAAAGTCATTGATAGTACCCTACCTACAGCATAAACAGACAACCAGAAGAAATCCAAAATAAAAATCTGGGCCCCCTATAACTTGGGGTCCTGTGCTACAGTCCAAGTTAGCCGTGCATAAGGCGGCATGGAAGTAGACAGCAAATTACCAGAATATGATTCTGCTGATTGTCTTACTTCCCAAAGAGTGGGGATTGCCACTGTGAGGTGATGTTCTACAGAATGATTAATGGTCCTCGCTGCCTAATGACATTTGATACAGTGCACTGCCCCCCAATCCCTGTGTGTTGAGTTTGTGTTTCCTCCCCGTCTTCTCCTCTGGCATCTCCTTTTTTCTGTCACGGTCCAAAAACATGCAGCTAGGCGGCCTGGAGGCTCGAAATTGAAGAGAAAGTTTCCAAAACTCGCTCAGTTCATTTTTTTGTTGATTTTGAGATGAGACCGCCAATGACTTAAAGTCCGGCTTCCTCATCATATATTACCATATTGAGAACAAAGAACTTTTGTTAAAAATGTCTGAAACTCATTAAACCTGCAGAATTTTTCTCAAAAACACATCCCATGAACTGAATGAGTTCTAAAGGATTTGCTCAATTTTGATTCCCTGTTGCGTGTGTGGGTGCCAACACTGCGATGGTCTTGGGTCCCATCCACGGTGTCCAGTACTTTGAGCCCGATGCTTCCACTGATAGGTACCAGGTTCACCTCCACCCTGTACTGGATGGACAATTATGGAGGAGAGATGAATGCTTGATTGGGTAGATGATACGGTGTAAAACTTTTCTATCACAAATAGCCAAATTGCAGAGATACTGAAAGTGTGCGCTCAGGATTAACTTTATCAACATGATCTGTCCCAGTGAGAAGGTCAGCAAATGGTCCAGACCTGTTAGTCCCAAAGGAGCTGGTGAGATTGAAGGTAGGAGACCATTAGCAGAACAGGGTGACAAGCAGACACAGGGTTCCCTGTCAGGGTCCAACTGCTCTACTAGGCCACAGGCTTAGCCTGCTCAAACTCTCTATCTGTCTCTATATCTATATCCTTTTCTATACCATTATATTCTTTTTTTTCCGTGAGAAAAGGAGCCGGTGTTGTGAGGGGTTTGTAAGGTTCCGGGCTCAGAAGAACATGTCACCACCACTTTGCTGTGCAGTTAATAATGCAACAAATGAACACGCTTGCCTTTCGTTTCAGCTAATTAGTGTGGGAGAGAATAAGCGTACATGAGTGTGTCTGTGTGTTTGTGAGAGAAGATGCCCAGGAAACCTAAGCAGAACAGTGTCAAATTTGCATAATGGCAGAAAATGTGCATGTTTGCATGCATTTTGTTTATTTTACATTATTAATATACCCTTGGGAGGTGGAGCTGGGATTTATTTCACTTCTCAGTATCTTTGATAAGAATGATTTACAGAAAATCCCTCCCCAGCAGTGCGTATTTCCAATCTGGTCAGGTATCTGTATCATTTACTGTGCCGT